TTTTTGGGCGAAAAATTAAGGTTCTCCAATCTTCTCAAAACTCTGGATTCTGATAGAGGGCCATGAGACTTAAACCTGAGTGCAAAAATGGAGGCTCTAGACCCTTCCAGAGCTGAGATATCGAAACTCAAAAATTCGACCCGAAAAAAAAAACGACAGTGGTACCCCTTACGTTTTTTTTTTTTTGGGCGAAAAATTAAGGTTCTCCAATCTTCTCAAAACTCTGGATTCTGATAGAGGGCCATGAGACTTAAACCTGAGTGCAAAAATGGAGGCTCTAGACCCTTCCAGAGCTGAGATATCGAAACTCAAAAATTCGACCCGAAAAAAAAACGACAGTGGTACCCCTTACGTTTTTTTTTTTTTGGGCGAAAAATTAAGGTTCTCCAATCTTCTCAAAACTCTGGATTCTGATAGAGGGCCATGAGACTTAAACCTGAGTGCAAAAATGGAGGCTCTAGACCCTTCCAGAGCTGAGATATCGAAACTCAAAATTCGACCCGAAAAAAAAAACGACAGTGGTACCCCTTACGTTTTTTTTTTTTTGGCGAAAAATTAAGGTTTTCCAATCTTCTCAAAACTCTGGATTCTGATAGAGGGCCATGAGACTTAAACCTGAGTGCAAAAATGGAGGCTCTAGACCCTTCCAGAGCTGAGATATCGAAACTCAAAAATTCGACCCGAAAAAAAAACGACAGTGGTACCCCTTACGTTTTTTTTTTGGGCGAAAAATTAAGGTTCTCCAATCTTCTCAAAACTCTGGATTCTGATAGAGGGCCATGAGACTTAAACCTGAGTGCAAAAATGGAGGCTCTAGACCCTTCCAGAGCTGAGATATCGAAACTCAAAAATTCGACCCGAAAAAAAAACGACAGTGGTACCCCTTACGTTTTTTTTTTTGGGCGAAAAATTAAGGTTCTCCAATCTTCTCAAAACTCTGGATTCTGATAGAGGGCCATGAGACTTAAACCTGAGTGCAAAAATGGAGGCTCTAGACCCTTCCAGAGCTGAGATATCGAAACTCAAAAATTCGACCCGAAAAAAAAAACGACAGTGGTACCCCTTACGTTTTTTTTTTGGGCGAAAAATTAAGGTTCTCCAATCTTCTCAAAACTCTGGATTCTGATAGAGGGCCATGAGACTTAAACCTGAGTGCAAAAATGGAGGCTCTAGACCCTTCCAGAGCTGAGATATCGAAACTCAAAAATTCGACCCGAAAAAAAAAACGACAGTGGTACCCCTTACGTTTTTTTTTTTTGGGCGAAAAATTAAGTTCTCCAATCTTCTCAAAACTCTGGATTCTGATAGAGGGCCATGAGACTTAAACCTGAGTGCAAAAATGGAGGCTCTAGACCCTTCCAGAGCTGAGATATCGAAACTCAAAAATTCGACCCGAAAAAAAAACGACAGTGGTACCCCTTACGTTTTTTTTTTTTGGGGCGAAAAATTAAGGTTCTCCAATCTTCTCAAAACTCTGGATTCTGATAGAGGGCCATGAGACTTAAACCTGAGTGCAAAAATGGAGGCTCTAGACCCTTCCAGAGCTGAGATATCGAAACTCAAAAATTCGACCCGAAAAAAAAAACGACAGTGGTACCCCTTACGTTTTTTTTTTTTGGCGAAAAATTAAGGTTTTCCAATCTTCTCAAAACTCTGGATTCTGATAGAGGGCCATGAGACTTAAACCTGAGTGCAAAAATGGAGGCTCTAGACCCTTCCAGAGCTGAGATATCGAAACTCAAAAATTCGACCCGAAAAAAAAACGACAGTGGTACCCCTTACGTTTTTTTTTTTTTGGCCGAAAAATTAAGGTTTTCCAATCTTCTCAAAACTCTGGATTCTGATAGAGGGCCATGAGACTTAAACCTGAGTGCAAAAATGGAGGCTCTAGACCCTTCCAGAGCTGAGATATCGAAACTCAAAAATTCGACCCGAAAAAAAAAACGACAGTGGTACCCCTTACGTTTTTTTTTTTTGGGCGAAAAATTAAGGTTCTCCAATCTTCTCAAAACTCTGGATTCTGATAGAGGGCCATGAGACTTAAACCTGAGTGCAAAAATGGAGGCTCTAGACCCTTCCAGAGCTGAGATATCGAAACTCAAAAATTCGACCCGAAAAAAAAACGACAGTGGTACCCCTTACGTTTTTTTTTTTGGGCGAAAAATTAAGGTTCTCCAATCTTCTCAAAACTCTGGATTCTGATAGAGGGCCATGAGACTTAAACCTGAGTGCAAAAATGGAGGCTCTAGACCCTTCCAGAGCTGAGATATCGAAACTCAAAAATTCGACCCGAAAAAAAAACGACAGTGGTACCCCTTACGTTTTTTTTTTTTGGGCGAAAAATTAAGGTTCTCCAATCTTCTCAAAACTCTGGATTCTGATAGAGGGCCATGAGACTTAAACCTGAGTGCAAAAATGGAGGCTCTAGACCCTTCCAGAGCTGAGATATCGAAACTCAAAAATTCGACCCGAAAAAAAAAACGACAGTGGTACCCCTTACGTTTTTTTTTTTGGGCGAAAAATTAAGGTTCTCCAATCTTCTCAAAACTCTGGATTCTGATAGAGGGCCATGAGACTTAAACCTGAGTGCAAAAATGGAGGCTCTAGACCCTTCCAGAGCTGAGATATCGAAACTCAAAAATTCGACCCGAAAAAAAAACGACAGTGGTACCCCTTACGTTTTTTTTTTTTTGGGCGAAAAATTAAGGTTCTCCAATCTTCTCAAAACTCTGGATTCTGATAGAGGGCCATGAGACTTAAACCTGAGTGCAAAAATGGAGGCTCTAGACCCTTCCAGAGCTGAGATATCGAAACTCAAAAATTCGACCCGAAAAAAAAACGACAGTGGTACCCCTTACGTTTTTTTTTTTTGGGCGAAAAATTAAGGTTTCCAATCTTCTCAAAACTCTGGATTCTGATAGAGGGCCATGAGACTTAAACCTGAGTGCAAAAATGGAGGCTCTAGACCCTTCCAGAGCTGAGATATCGAAACTCAAAAATTCGACCCGAAAAAAAAACGACAGTGGTACCCCTTACATTTTTTTTTTTGGGCGAAAAATTAAGGTTCTCCAATCTTCTCAAAACTCTGGATTCTGATAGAGGGCCATGAGACTTAAACCTGAGTGCAAAAATGGAGGCTCTAGACCCTTCCAGAGCTGAGATATCGAAACTCAAAAATTCGACCCGAAAAAAAAACGACAGTGGTACCCCTTACGTTTTTTTTTTTTGGCGAAAAATTAAGGTTCTCCAATCTTCTCAAAACTCTGGATTCTGATAGAGGGCCATGAGACTTAAACCTGAGTGCAAAAATGGAGGCTCTAGACCCTTCCAGAGCTGAGATATCGAAACTCAAAAATTCGACCCGAAAAAAAAACGACAGTGGTACCCCTTACGTTTTTTTTTTTGGGCGAAAAATTAAGGTTCTCCAATCTTCTCAAAACTCTGGATTCTGATAGAGGGCCATGAGACTTAAACCTGAGTGCAAAAATGGTGGCTCTAGACCCTTCCAGAGCTGAGATATCGAAACTCAAAAATTCGACCCGAAAAAAAAAACGACAGTGGTACCCCTTACGTTTTTTTTTTTTGGCCGAAAAATTAAGGTTCTCCAATCTTCTCAAAACTCTGGATTCTGATAGAGGGCAATGAGACTTAAACCTGAGTGCAAAAATATAGGCTCTAGACCCTTCCAGAGCTGAGATATCGAAGCTCAAAAATTCGACCCGAAAAAAAAAACGACAGTGGTACCCCTTACGTTTTTTTTGGGGGGCGAAAAATTAAGGTTCTCCAATCTTCTCAAAACTCTCGATTCTGATAGAGGGCCATGAGACTTAAACCTGAGTGCAAAAATGGAGGCTCTAGACCCTTCCAGAGCTGAGATATCGAAACTCAAAAATTCGACCCAAAAATGGAGGCTCTAGACCCTTCTGTACTGGCATTTTGTATAGATGGTATTGAAATTGAAAGACTTCAAAATTGAAACACTTGTGTGTATTATACTATGATATTACTTATTCATTTTGTATTATGTAAGGTTTTGAACTTAAGCAAAGTCCTTTTGAACAGTTTTGAAAAGAGTCTCTTAGTGCAAATTGTTATGGAGGTACATAGAGTCTTTAAGTGAGAAAATAATTTATGTAAACTGACTGGTTGGCAGGGTTTGAGTACATCCTAGTACTGAGTGCTGCTTCCTCCACTTTTATTAAATGTTCTCATGAAAAGGTCTCCGTTCTTTTCTAAGTATTGAGACATTGAGTTCTTGTGCTGTAATACTGTGCATGGCAGTGTAAGGAGAGAGGGATAGATTGACAGTCAGCACTGCCGTGCACCCGTTCCCCTGGAAGGAATCTTAGGTTTTACCTTTCAAATATTTTTACAACCTATGGAAGCACTCTCAGTAAATCAGAAAAAGACACATGCATACATTAGACAAGAACATGCATAGACATTAAATGAGTATTGCTTGCTGAATTTAAAAAGTAATTATGTTGAACATTGCTTTGAACAGAACAAGTGAACTCTCTGAACCTGAAAATACCATTTGAGTCAACACAATGCCATAACTTGGCCAAATGTGATATATACAAATCAGATGTTCTGATTGAGGAATTAGTAAGTAAATGTAAAAAATCTCCTCAATTTCAGAAAAATGTTAAAGTCCTTAAAAGAAATTCATTCAGCAAAGATGCATTAAACTGGTCAAATGTGACATTTAAAGAGTTTTCACATTGTTAACACAAAAATTATATTTACTATACTTTCTAATCATTAAAAGCCCTGGAAAAACATATCACTGTTTAAATATTAAAATATTAAGCAGAACAACTGTCTCCAAATCAGCATATTAGATTGATTTCTGAAGGATCATGTGACACTAAAGACTAGAAAAATAATTCTGTATAATAATTATATAATGATAATCATCTGGCCTAGTTAGAAAAGTCATAATCTGTCAAATGTCATCTGTAATATATATCATTCTTTTTGCTGTCTGCATTTTCCAGGTGGACTTGGTGGGTTCTGAAAAGCTGAACAACTCGATGGGGTTCTCAATGTTCTTTGTGGGGCTTGGATGTCTTACAGGTCCTCCTCTTGCAGGTATGTGGAGTTTGAATGAGCTCCATGACTAGATCATACAAGCATCAATAGGTAAATGCAGTCTTGATGTCTCACGAAAATAACCCGCAGCATTGGAAAGTCTTGGCCAGTCTTGATAATGTGTAAGACTAGCCTGCTTCTGTGTGTGTGGCTTGAGGGACACTGTGGCCATTTAGTTTCATATTCCAATTTAAGTGGGTTACAGATGGGAGACATGTTAACCCATCTAAAAATAGGATGACCTGCTTTTCATCATAATGTAATGCTGAACAAATACCTTTAGGCTACTTTCAGGATTATAAAACATATTCATTTGTCTTATTTGTTGCTGTTTATTAGCAGTATTCAGTAATACATCCCAATACAGAATCTCCTTATGTAGAACAGCTGTAAAGCGAGGGACAAGTCTTGGAAATACAAATCTTGCAGAGGGGCCTCTTTAGGAAGGCGAGTATAGACCTTGCTCTGAACTCTGTTACAGTTATGCTAACATGAACCATCTTGTCAGGGCCCCCTTCCACAATCTCTCCACCTACCAAAAATAATGAGCAACCAGGGAAGCCAACTGATTTTTCTCTCCTACCCAAGGCCTTTCCGGACTTGACCTGCTTTTGCTTGCGTAGCGAAAACAAGCTGTCGTTTTAAAAGCGTATCCAGTCAGAAAACAGGTGTGGGAGATCCTGGGGTGGAAAGTGAAGAAAGTTTTTTTTCCATCTGTCCATCATCAAGCGTTAGGTTACTGACTGTTCGCAAATGCATCTAGCAAGGGAAAGTAAAAAAATAAAACCTAGTCTTTTTTCCTTGTTTTCTTCATTGACATCTATTTAAGGAAAACATTCCTTCTGCTAACAGTTTAATATATGTCTAACGCATTGCGTTTTTCCTGAAGGCTTCCTGTACGACTACACACAGACCTACGACTGCTCCTTCTACCTGGCAGGTGCGTGTTACCTGTTATCATCAGTTTCTCTTTTTCTCGAGCCTCTGGCAAGACGCTGGCAAGCCCGAAAGAAACGGCTGGAGACGATGAGTGAAGAATTGATGTGGAATAATGGCTGTTTCTGCCCAGCACCTCAGAGGAATGGTGTCGTATAATAAAGAAAATAAACTCAAAGCCATTTTACTTTCCACCATGCCATGTGGTTCTGATCGGAAGAGAACCTGACCTGAACATTTGGCGGGACCACAGTGTGGCAAGCAAATGAATGTTTATTTGAATAAAGAGACCAATAAATGAATCCTTGAGGACACTACAATGCAAACTATTTTGTTAGTGGGTGAGTGAGAATGGATTTTGTTCAGTTGGTTTGATATATAAACAAATAGTATGTTTCCCTCACCGCAATCTTTAATGACAATCAGATCAGCACAAGAACAAAATGAAGTCTTTATCACCACATATGCATTTATTTTCCAACACATTACGAATCAGGATCTTCCTTCACTAGAAAGTTACTTGAAAGCTTCCACTGACATATTTTACTCGCTTAGGCAAATGAACTAGAACTAAAATAAGGGTATTTTGTCAGATGGTGATGGGTCTATGCAATAAGCCTAAGATGGCTGCTTCTTCTGTGAGTCCCCATTTTGAGCATTTAATGTCTGTTGATGTGTATCAGTTGCTATGAAGCTGTGTAAATGACTACACAACGGCTGAAAACAACATAGATTTTGTTTTGCCGTCAGTGCCCCAAGTGGAATACATTTGGGTGCAGAATATTCCAGACATGGACTTTTCTTCTCACTGGTGCCAAATCACTCACACTGTCATTCACTACTGACAACAACCAAGAGATTTGCTGGAACAAGTGAATATTCTTCTGATGCTAATGAGCCAAGTGTTGCAAGAATTAGGTCATTTGGCTTGTGGGTTCATGTGTACCTGTACAAGAGGCCCAGATGGCGAGCCTGTGTGGAGAGTTTCTCAAAAGTGCAAATCCCTTATACTTATTGTATTTTTTTATTTTTGCTGGGTAATCTGCACTATGTTTATCGCCACTCTTTGCCTTTGTACTCAATGACTGTGCTAAATATCATGTAATGAGAGCCAAAGATGCAATAGAAATGTAATTGAACGATCTATGCCGAAATACAGTCTAGTTGTTGTTGTTGCTGGCACGTTAGTTCCCTCAAGAAGTTGTGCGTGAGCTGTTGCCCTCTAGAGGCACTGATGATGTACTGCTACTGGAATGTTCTATCAATTAACATGCAATCTATGTTCTGGAATGTCTAGTTCTTTCCTTTCATCAGCAAGTAAATACAAACAGTATTTCCTAACAAGAATGAGCAAGACTTATGCAACTGTGACCATTTAACGAATAAGCACATCACAAAGATAAGAACAGTATGCCACGCTCTGGACATTATTTGTTTTTTTTGTTGTTGCAGAAAGCATTTTTATCACTCTTAATTGTTTAATAAAAGCAAGTTTCTTTGGAGAAATGGGTTAGAAATGTCTGGAAATGTTGTATAAATTGTCTGTAAACTCAAAAACTAGCCTTAAAGACACAGTTAAAGGTACAGTTCGCCAAAAATGAAAATTCTGCCATCATTTACTCACCCACAAGTTGTTCCAAACAATGTTTTAACCAAACAGTTGGACCCCATTGACCAAAAAAAAAACTGTGGAAGTCAATGGGGACCAGAAACCAACATATTTCAAAATATCTTTCTTTGTGTTAAACTGATCAAAAAAAAAAAAAAAAAAACTCATACAGGTTTAAAATAACATCAGGGTGAGTAAATTACATAATTTTCATTTTTGGGTGAATAAGGGGACACAATAACACTATTATTGTCAATGACAGACTTCAGCAATTATGTACTGTTAGTGATTTTGTAATTGTGTGGAAATGTGATGCTGGTATTGGGGTTATTATTAAGTGTTTTTTTTTTTTTTTTTTACTGTTTCTGAAAGTTTTGCATAATTATTTTGTTGACAATGCTCACATCTGTTAAGATTTACATGACTGCAATTAAAGCCCGCAGTAAATTTGACAAAGCAACTGGGTTTTCTGTAAAACATTTGTTGATGCCTGAGAAATGTTCTCCTTTTTCACCATGAGGAAAATATAAAAGAAAGCAGTTTATCTTAATCTATCTCAAAATCCAACTACCTGAAGTACATTATTTTAATTAGCTTTTTGAAAGACAAAAAGATTGCCTTTTCATATGTAAAATCAAAATCAAAACAAAGTGATGTAAAAATATCTTTATTGAGAACACATTGTAGTACATACAATGGTAGGCAGTATTTACATTTTGAATGCATCATTACTCTAATATATATATATATTTAAAAAAAATTGTATTACAAAAAAGATCATTAGCATTAATTAGTATTATGAACCTACTCAATTCTAAAATATGGAGAGAAAAAATGCTTAGATTACATTTTTTGTTTAACTTGTACTTACAGAAATTTGAGCCGTGATGAGAATATTCCGTGATGGATGGATACCCACAATGCAACACTGATGTTCTGTAGACACCAAAAACAGCACATAAAGAGGTGTAGCAAAATGTCATTAATTACATGCATAAAAGAAAACATGACAACTTAATCAAAGGCTTATAATCAGTAACAAACCATCTAACAATTTCTCTCGGCAAATAAATGATCTGTCTACCTGGAACTCATTCAGATCATCACACCGGTAAAACAAATATATTTCAGCATATATTACTTGCTAGAGGCATACTCGTGTTAAAGTTAAGTTATAACAACAAAGGACGCAGATATGGCATCAACATTATACTGTGTTGTACAACAGATTTATGAAAAATTTCAATGATCACTCTATAATAATTAGTACAAGTATAATTCTAAAAAGCTAATTCTGGCTGTTTTCAGTTTGCACATTTAACTTGAGTTTCCAATAATCACTCAGAGTAGTAAGGTCATTTTTATAAAGATCAGAGGGTAGAAAGCCTCTTGTGAGGCCTGAAATAGTTTTATAGTCATCATGTGGTAGCTTATGGAGAGAACTAAGCTACAACCAGGAACAATGAGCTAATGTTTTGGACTGTCTGACTTAATATGGTCTTTTCACTGCTTGGAAAAGTGGGGAGGGAAAAGTGCCAGGGCAACACAAAGAGATTATGCAAATGAGGCCAGAGGAGGGGCTTAAGTGTTACCGTGGAGACCTATGGTTACCAAGATACCAGGCCCATTCCATAGCATCAGAAGACAGGCCAGTCAGTCAGAACTGTGGTGAAGACACAAGAGACCACAGCTGAGTGCCATGGACTGAGGGAACTCATCGTTTTCATCACTGCCATGGCGTTCTCTCAATGCCTAACTGAAACTGGACAAGTAAAAAAAAGTTAAAGGGATTCATTATATGAGGTGTATTTGTTAATGCAAATGGATTTAAAATTAGTCAGTGCCCAAATCCTAACCCCTTTTCTATACTCATAATAAAAGCAGGCTCATTTCAAGGCAGCGCCCTCCGGAGGTCACCTTTGTGGAAACAAGTCGTAATAAGTCCTCAAATTTAAAATAAAAGACCAATATTTCTGTAAATGTACTGCAAAATTGGAAGAATTGGATTGACTATTTTACAACTTGGTATATATGAAGAGTTCAGATGCAAAAGCCTCTAAGTGCCATTTGAAATTTTCTTCTAGAATGATAATTTTTATCAAGCTTGTATATTTAAGTTCAGTGATTTCACTTAAATGGCAATGATAATTACCTATTAATTGTTATTTAAGTGGAATTACTGAACTTAAATATACAAGTTTGATAAAAATCATCATTAAAGAAGAAAATTTCAAATGGCATTTAGAGGCTTTTGCATCTGAACTCTTCATATATAGACATAACATAATATTTCAGTTTGCTAATTTCATTCATATTCATGGGCAGAAATCTATGTTTGTACAGAAAATTCCGGTTTGTCTTTATGCTTATAAAGTGATCTTTATAAGAATACCAGTATTAATCATTGTGAAGGTAGAAATTATGACAGTCATATGTGAAATAAATAATGCAATTAATAATTTTTTTGACACCCATCATTATTTAAACTGAGATATTCAACACAATCTCCCAACTTATTTTCAAGTCTGTTCATAATCAATGAAGTTTACTGCATAACTAATGTAATCACTATCCTTGTCATTTCCTGCTATCATTAGGAAAATATTTTACAATCAGGAGCCTGATATTGACATCATTGTAGCAAATTATTAAGTACCTAGTGCTCTAAGTACCCATCAATTATTATTAACTATTATTTTTGCATGTATGAATAATATACAAGTTATTAATTTATTTATATTTAAAAATACAATGCATTTTATTCTTAACTTAAAGGGATAGTTCACCCAAAAATGCTAATTCTGTCATTAATTACAGTACTTTTAACAGACAGGTGAAAGTTACAATGAAAATTATCAATAGAACTTATGAGGCAATTAATTGTTAGGATTATAAGGCTGATTAAATGGCTTAAAAGGCTAATAGTAAATCTAGTGAAGATTTAACTGGAATGAAAAGCTCTATGAAAATACCAAAGCTAAAATGAAGTGTGGCACTGTGTTAAAAGAGATAGATTACCCGAAAATGAAAAATGACTTACCAACCCTCTTGTTGTTCCAAGCCTGTCTTTCTTCCGTTGAACGCATAAGATATTTTGAAAAATGTTGGTAAACAGACAGTTGACTGTAGCCATTAGCTGCCGTAGTAGGGGAAAAAAACAAACAAACAAACAAACAAACAAACAAACAAACAAACAAACAAAAAAAAAACTATGAAAGTCCATGGGGTCCATGAACTGTCTGGACACCAACATTTTTTAAAAGATCTTATTTTGTGTTCAACATAAAGAAACTCGTACAGGTTTGGAACAACCTGGCAGTGAGTAAAATCTATCCCTTTAAGTTTTATATGTAAATTGTAAATGTGGTTGTTTTAGATCTTATAAAAGCTGTCTCCAATTTTTTAGAATCCAAATAAAAATGTAAGAACACATTGATACTTATTGTAAAGGTTTATTACTTTTTTAATTTATTTACTAAATTTATTTAAAATTATTAGTGTTAATTTGGTCATTCTAGGGATACAATCAACTATTAAATAAGTTACTAATTTATTTACATTTAATACAATGCATTTTATTCTTAACTTAAAAGGGATAGTTCACCCAAAAATGCTAATTCTGTCATCATTTACTCACCCTCATGTCATTCCAAACCTGGATGACTTTTTTTCTTTGATAGAAAACAAAAGATATTTTGAAGAATGTTGTTCAAGCGTCCAATTGATATGTCGAGAAAAAAAAGAAGAAATTTAAAAAATATCTTGTTTGTTCTAAAAAATAAATAAATAAATCATACAGGTTTGGAAGAACATGAGTACATTTTCAGGTGAACTACTGCTTTAACGATCATCCTTATTGCGAGTTTATTTGTGTGAATTCACAAGTCTTTGACCTCCTACCAAAAATATAGCATAACAAATATCAGTAACACTTTACAACAGTCACATTTGTTAATGTATTAATATGAACTAACAGTGAGCAATACATTTGTTGTAATATATAATCTTAATTAATGTTAGTTAAATAAAAAAATAGTTTGTTAGTTCACAGTGCATTAATGCTAAGAAATAAAAATTTTGATTTTAATAATGTAGTAAATGTTGAAATGAACTAATTTGAATAAATCATGTAAAACATTGATCATTAGTTCATGTTAACTAATGCAACCTTATTGTAAAGTGATACTGATATTTCTGCATTTTTCTTTGAAAGACATGTTTTGGATAATACAGGCCAGGATGTCACAGTCACAGTCAATGGCAATCTCCTAATGCATTTGTTTAACTGACACTTACCTGTACCAGGTAGACTCTGAGCCTAAAGACCTGGTATGAAGCCGACGCTCCCTACTCACCACCCACACCAGAGGACTGGTCTGGATCCTCACCCCGGAGGCCTGAATGAGCTGCTGGTGAAGTGATGCAGCTGAGCTGACCGCATGTCTTACTAAGCAAAGGGAAGGAGGTGGTGTTCATTCTCTTCCTCCTGACGAGGCTCCTCGCAACGCAAGCAAACTCCATGTTAACTTTGGGTGGAGTTCACAAGGGCAGCTTGTTTTCTTTCAGGGGTTCTTCACAACGGAGGGTCAATTAACCACGTACCGATCATCTGGATGCATTTTACAATCTCTTTCAGGAAAATAAACGTTTAAGGGAAACAAAACTATCAAAGCGCACACAATTTCGAAGGCTAAAACCGCTTTTTTGGGGGCTTTTCTAAATCCTCTTCCTTCACTGATTTGCAATGGAGCGAAACAAAATCATATTGACGAAATCAAAGGATGGGATAAACAAATGCCTGCTCCTCTGAATTGGAAATCACTGATCTCAGGTAAGGTTCAGGCAGTCACGCTGGCAATGCACAGTGTGGCCGGCCAGGTTACAGCAAGCCTGGATACTTCCAGCTGAGGGACACACACGGGGAGCAGCCGGCATGCCTGAGAGAATCAAAAGGTGCTGAAACAGATATTTCAGTTTAGATGAAGGTCTGCGCAAACATCATCTCTCCACTCATTCTCAACGCTCAGCAGAACGGCCCCTTTCTCCCTGATCTGTTTGAGGGTTGGGGGGGGGGGGCAGCAGCACCCTCAGGTTACTTAGCATGTAGGGCAACTCCAGGACACAAGGGTGGAAAACACAGATCAACAACAACATCGAGCCTCAAAAGAGCTCTCTCGCCCTTCGCTCTCACTGCCACGACTGATCCCAAGGCCGAACACAAAGGAGGAGGATTTCTCTTTCCCGAGCAGAAACAAGCATTTGAGCAACAATTCCTCCCGAAACACAACCGAAAAAAAGCAGCGCAGGCGTTCTTCAATTGATTTCCAAGGAATAAACATTTCTCCCTCAAATGAAACAATTTATTGATAGCGTGATATAATCAAATGAGGGGCCAGTGCACTTTTTGTGTGTGTACAAACAGCCACGTCAAGAGCTGTGCAAGGAGTGAGTGACGCTTCCTCTTTCTCCCAAATCAAGAAATTAGGTAAACACAGCACAAATCAAGTGTCATTATTTCCGTTTAAATACGGGAACCGTAAGCACAAAAAAAAAAAAAACAATTACACAAGCAGGAAGATGCTCTCAGTGAGAGTACACTAACACTAAATGGAAAGCTCTTGCCCCTGTGTATCCAAAGGGCTCCTGAATCATTTCAAACAATTATTTCGGCTTCCAGCCATGTGAAGTCCACTTGCGGAACGGTCCATTTGCGGTCCTGTCCTGTGTGGAACGTACAGTATGTCCATTTAACCATGTACACAAAGAGCTGTAATATTGTGAAATTACCAATCAATCAACTTTTAAAACACAATTTAGTGTGAAGAATAGAAAAGTCACACATGAAGAGATGTTAGTTATGCATCAGACCAGTACACTGCAGTTAGCTAAAGAGACTTAGAACACAAATGTCTACTTCTTCAGGACTTCAGAGTAAAGTATAGACTGTCATTTTAAAACCGTTCAAACAATGACACCCAAGAACCACAACAGCATGTAATATTTCAAACAAAAATGGCTGTTTAACTATGAACATACTTAAATGTACATCTATATTGTCAACTAAAATTATGTCAATAAAATACAATTTAGGACTGTCTGAATGTTGCACAAGATTCAAATTTGTATGGCATTAAGTCTCTGTTTGTGTACAAATATGTGGGCTTGATTTCTTTAAATTAGTCGTACACCTTAAAGGGATAGTACATCAAAAAATTGAAATTCTGTCATCACTCACTCACCCTCAAGTTGTCTCAAACCTGTACGAGTTTTGTTTCTTCTGCTGGACACTAAAGAAGATATTTTGAAGAATGTTGGTTATCAAACATTTGACATTGACTTTCATAGAAGGAAAATAAATACTATGGAAGTCAATGGCTACAACATTCTTCAAAATATATTCTTTTGTGTTCAACAGAAGAAACAAACTCGTACAGGTTTGGAAAAATATAAGGGTGAGTAAATGACAGAATTTTAATTTCTGGGTACACTTTCTCCTCAAGTTCTCAGTGCTATCTACATGGCATATTTAGCAAACTACGGGTGACAATGAAAAAATATCATATATATTATATGCCACATGCACTTAACATTGATTATTTGAAAAGTCTGTTTTTATAGCAAATGCATCTTTATAAAGAGACCTTTATAACAATAACAGTATTAAAAATGTCACTGTATAAAGAGGATATATTTGGCTGGAAAATTATGACAGTCCTATGGGGAAAATAAAATTAAAACCACACTATGCAAACAAATTAATTATCATAATTTAAACTGAGACACCTCACTTTGAAACCAAAATCATGCTTAATTCAAATGTAACCCAAAAAGATGGAAACCATATGTCAGAATACCCTTTTCTTCACAAAATTTGTTGCTTGATGTAATGCTTTGGTCAAAGGAGGACTTTTACAATCAAAATGTTTTTACAGATTATTTTTTATGGGGTGTTAAAATGCTGCCTTTTTCAATCAATATAACACTGATGACACTATTAGGCTTTGTATATTAAACCTCTGCAACAGCTTACAGTAGAACACAAGCATTAACATGCAGTTCACTGAGCAAAGTATTCGGCCTGTTTTAGTTGCCTACAGGACTACATATACCTATATTACACTCCCCATTACTGAATGATTGTTCAAAGCATCAAAACACAAACCAGATTCCTGTTAAATCAGATCAATTGAAAACCATGAACATGAATGAAATGAACATTGATTTCGTACAGGGATAACTGTCTGGAATCTGACTGAAATACATGGTGATGATGGGAAGTACTATAACTAAACAGTGTTTAATGACCCATAGCAAATTAAATTTCTATTCTAATATGCCCAATATCACTCATTCTTTAACGCAGGGTACAACTTATCACAAACTAGACATCTGAATAAATTGCAATGGAAAACAAATATATTGCTATATAGAGCTAAACTTTGCTATACGAATGGGCCTTTTTCTCTCATTTTTGTACATGTTTGGCAGAGCAGGTAATAACATTTGCCCTTTACTCTAGTACCACTTCTGCTTTAGTGAGCATGCAATTAAAAGACATCAAGAGAAGCTTGCATTTAACAAAACTTTAGTGTGTATTAGGATTGTTAGGATGCTCCTCGCACAATGATCATGACCAGGAAGTCCTCTTCCGTTTTGGCAAGAGCTTTCGCAGAAGAATCTAAGAACTGCTGAGAGAAATCACATGGTGGAAATGCGTGCAGGACACCAGTGTTGTCCTTATCTCTACTGCCCCCGACGGGTAAACTGATGACCCCAGCGGCCTGCTTTTGCTTCAGGTAGGAAACCAAGTTGCGCAGGGGCCTCTGTGTCGATGCTGCTGGGTCCGAAGACGAAGTCTCCTCGGTGCTGCCCGGAACTGCCAGAAGAACCGCATACCCGCCCGGGCCTGCGACTTTGATGCGGCGAGACACTTCGTCGATCTTGGGCTGGTCGAGGCGAAGGCGTTGCGTGATGCGCAGCTGAGCGACTTTGCCGCCCATGCTGCCGTCCATAAGAAGACTGGTGGCGACGCTCAGGTCCCCGTCCAGGAGATGCATGCTGGCTGGGAAGTTACTGTTCTTTAGGAGCAGCATGCCATTCCAGGCCATGCTCAGCTTGCCCCCTGCGTCCTGCTTCGAAGCCTGGTTGCTTTTGGAGCTGCCCTCGGATCTGTCCCTTTTGGAGACGCCTTTGGCTGAATCGCCTGCTTTGCGCTTTCTTTCCCCTGGACTTGCGCCGACACTGGTCTCGGAGACGCTGCTGCCTTTTATGCGCTTCTCACCAGGGGCTCGGTCCAGGCTGCTGCGGCTCTCTCGTGCGGGGGACACCCGATCTGCTCTCGCTGGACGCTCGGAGTCGCTGAATCGACCGTCTCGGCTGCTGCCACCCGGGCTGCCTTCGAGGGACGGCGGTCTGCGGCGTCGGGCTGCCCACTCGCTGCTGCTGTCAGGCGAACACTCCAGATGTCTCCCGTCCTCCATGAGTCGTCGTTTGCGTGCAGCGTCCCTGGCCGGCAGCTCCCGCTCCAGTGACCACGCCTCTCGCCGCCGTTCACGCTCCAAGTGTTCAAGGGGCTCAAATGCAGGAGTTCGTACACGTTCACGAATTGCAGGGGCAGCCCATTCAGCCCCGGCGTACAGTTCTCGTTCTCTGAAGTGCAGTGGTGGGGGAGTCCGTTCTCGGACCCTGATGGCCTCAGGGGTGGCGCGATGGACGAAAGACTCAGCCACAATTTCATAGTGCTGCAAAGGGAGGGGCTGCAAGAACTGCTGCTGGTAGCGGTGCTCCGTGTCAGCGAAGTCCACCCTCAGCCTCCTGTCAGGACCGCCGAGAGGAAATCCACGCATGTGTGTGCAGGCTGCCTGAGCAGCATCCAAGCTTTCATACTGAATATAAGCCCAGGTGTCCCCTTTTCTGTAGTCTATAGTCCTAATAGTGCCAAAGCGGTCAAATTCCCTGGCTAATGCAGTGAGAGGCACCCAAGGTCCAAGACCACCCACCCATAGGCGTGTGGTGGGGGTGGCTTTGCCATAGCCGATTTTTATGGGGTTTCGGCCCACGACTTTCCCGGACATGCTCATTTTTGCTCTGTGGGCCATGTCCAAGTTCTCAAATTTAAGAAAGCCATAGGTGCTGCTCTGGCCCCGAGTGGGTCTTTTAATGTCCACCTCAGTGATGGTCCCAAATCGTTCAAACGCCCTCCTCAAATCATTTTCAGTCACAGTAATATCCAAATTACCCAGAAATAGTGTGCGGTTGGCTCTCTGGTCGTCCTCTGGAGAGATAAAGTCCTCCTCACGGAAAGGAGCAGCTCGCTCAGCGATGTACGCAGGCCGCGCCCTCGCTTCATAAAAGGCAAATTCTCTTTCTCTTTCAAGCTCTCTCGGTAAAGGCGGGGGTGGTGGGGGAGGAAGCCGACCAAGCGCCAACTGCTGTAACCGGTAGTCTCTGTAACCCAGACCGGTTGGAGAGAGCGGCCTCTGGGTATGCAAATGTCTATGGCCAGCAACGACAGAGAAATGGTCCTTATCTACCGGAGACCGACTTCTCCGCCTATTCAAGTAAACCGCCTCGATTTTCAAAGGACGGTCGTACAGCACCAGCCGGCCTCGCGCGTGCTTTGCCGCCCTGGCATCATCCGGTCTCCTAAAGTTGACGAATGCGATTCTCTCGTCATTGACTCGGCTGATTTTAACGCTCACATCACCAAATTTTTTGAATTCGTGGAAAAGGCCGTCCTCGATTTCCTCGTCACTCAGTTGGGAGCCGAGCTCGCTGATTTTTAAAGTTTTGTACTCACTTTCGTTGGTGGGAAGCGGGGCGCGCGACTCTCCGCGCGAGTTGGTGCGCGCGGCCGCCTCTAAAGACAAGCTCGACGCGTGATTCTTGCCGCTCGAGCTCGCAACGGGGCTGGTGTAACCGTGATTATTTCCAGTCCGACTGGAGACATGTCCGTCAAAATCCCTTCCATCTCTTTTATCTCCCAACAGCCCCCTTCGTGCAGAGCCCCCTTCGCCTTTAGAAGAACTATTGCCGTTGTTGCTCCCACCGCCAGAAATCGAGATAACCCCCATTTTCTTACTGGTTGGGTGGCTTCCTCCCCTGTCTCGTATATCATCCAAGGCCCTTGAGCGCTTTTTCACAGGCGATCGCTCCTTCCCTTTCATGTTAGATATCCTCTGGCTTTCCGCGTCCAACAAAACACTTTTTAACAGTTACGCTAACGCGATGGCAACGAATTTACACGAGGAATTGTATAATTTGTTCAGTGTCCCTGCGGCAAAACAACCGCATGCGCCATCTTGTCGAGACTACAACATGTCCCGCCCGTCGACTTTGATTGGTTTGAATCTCTGAGAAACTTCCACGCCACTGGTTGTTTTGTCTGTCAATCTAGACCGCCCGCATAGCTCCCAGTCTGATGTACACCATTTTAGCTTCAAATGGCAAATATTTACCATAGCCACTTTATAAACAAGAGAGGTGACATTTAACTAATCTTTAATGAGCTCTTGAGGTCATGCACCTAAAATATACTAATATGTGCTTCTGCACAGAATCCCATCATCTTTTAATAAACACGTTGAATCAATAAACCTGGTAGGAAAATTATTTTTAATTTAAAAAGGTTTTATGTTGAGCTGATTCTAAACTGTGAGTTTTGTCTTGCATTTAATTTAAAATACAAATATTGTATTTATAAATTGCGAGTGGTCGAATAAATAAAACATTTGAAAAAATGAGTTCACTTTATGTCCAACAGATGGCGATGCTTGCCTGTTCCACTGAGGTGACCGGAAGGGTTTTTTAACATGTCGGTTCAGTAGGGGTTCACCATAATAAAATGAATAATTTTTTTAATAAGAAAGATTTTCAGAACGGGAGAAATATTTGTAACAGTTAAATAGCTATGAAAATGAATGTATTTAGCCTATAATTAACGCAAGATGCTCTAATCTGGAGTTAGATGCAAAAAATAAAATAAAAAACAACTTGAATGTTTCTTGTCAAAAGTGATTAAGTAGCCTATGCGATTAAAACAAGGAAATAAATGCTTCATATTGGATACAAATAATTTGTGTATCATAAATAAGCATTAAATACACAAAGCACAAGCTAACACATCATATAATTTAAACTTTTGTTTATAAGCCTATATCTAGGCTGTATATTTATTTAAGTAGCCTATAGTGGATTAGCCTATAGGCAAGTTAGCTGCCAGTTAACTGCTAAGTCATTCAAAGTGCTGCAGGCCGTCAGTAAGACAGGTCAACTTAGTTTTGGCTATTTTACGGTTAATGTTATATATTTAGATTCTGTATGCGTTTATATTCTATGTCTGTCCAGGAGCCTACAATAATTAGCACACATTTTTCATCCTGCCAGTTTCATTTAGTAATGCTTCTCTTGTAGGCCTATTCCTGAACTGTATTTCTTTATCACATCCTTTAATCTGGGATTTAATCAGTTTGCATGTGTAGCTGGAGCTGGCTCCCCATTTTTGAAAGATCAGGCTGGAATTCGAAGCTGTGGGTGTGGAGAGAGTTTCTGTCTATCCTCTATTGGAACCACATGTCAGTTTTCTCCAAAACACGGCACGGTCCGCTAAACTGGCACTTAATGTGATCCAGCGTTTCTGTCATCCTCAATGCACAAAGGAAAGAAGCAGCAGGAAATGCTTGCCCCAAAGCGACTGTCGATCTGTTCCCATTTTGAGACTTAGAAAAGCTTTGAAAATCCTGACACTGCAGCTTTTTTCATCTCGAAAATTTTCGTTTTATGTGTCATCTATATGAAGTGAATCACCCTGAAAGAATGGCTGGCAGGATTGGCATTCAGTCATTAAACCCAGATGGAGCTGAATAACCACACCAGTCCCATTGCTGGGTCACAGAACTGCCCTCCTCAAGGCTGTTTGGCACTTGTATCAACAGAACACTTTAACTTCATCTGTTTCCCACTGGATCAGGATTCCAAAAACACATCAAACATGATCAACTGTATACTCTTGAGGGACATATAGTTTTAGTTAAAAGTCAATGTCAGAAAAATTGTGTCTATGTTTTCACCATGGCAGAATTTGAATTTGAGTCTGATTAGATATCGAGGCCAATGTGCATTTTGAACCATACGAAAATATTATTACATTTTCATTATTATCATTCTTTATCCAATACATTCAACCACAGAGCCAACTTCGGGAACCTGGAGTCTGTCCACTGCAAAATTTTTGTCCAAGACTTTTGAATTAAACAGTAGCATAACCTGTAAGTTGACTCATAATTCATTAGGCTTTGTGGTTCTGCTCTGCTGTCAGACCCCAGACCTCGATTGATATGTACGACAGAGAAAAACCTTGGAATCCAGTCCAGTGAAGGGCTTGTGGTTACTTAGTTGGTTTTGTATAAGCAGTGGTGTCATATGCTGCTGATGTATCGAGTGACATTTGACAGCCGGCCACAGCAAAACACACATTAGATGGCCATGGCTTCTCTCAAATACCTTACATGCAAACGTTTATCTATAGGCCCTACAAGCCTTAAAAATTGGCACACTTGTCTGGTTCAAAAAATGCTTATCTGGTTCCAAAAGTTGTCGGGGCCTATTTAATTTGCTATATGTACAGTAAAACCATACATTGCAAATATATTTTAAAATTAGAATTAAGGATGCATGAATATAAACATTTTGGTTGAATACAAAATTATGGTTTAAATCTGTACAATTTTATCTAAATAAATTCAAAATAAAACGCTAAAAATGTTTAAAGCAGCAAGTGAATTTGGGTAGCTGCATAAAGCTCAATATGAAATTCTGATGTTTGCTAAAGATAATTTTTTTTTTTTTTTGATTAAGCATTAAATGATGGCTAAGGTAATCTAATGTAAAACTTGGAAAAATGAGCAGGCACAAGTAGATATTAAATATAGACCAAATCATTCAATAAAAAAAATCAATATGATACCAATATCTATACGTTCCTAAATAAAAATGCAAAATGCAATCTATATGCAGAGATGCTTAATTCCTGTCGAAAAAGCACACGTTGGTGTTTTTATGGGTGACATATTTGAATGCACAAAGTTGGGAATTGTAAAATGATTTATTGACTGGGACTATAATGGGGCTAAAACACGGCATACACTGAGACTATGAGATTAACATTAACATACTTAAATAAACATGTTGCACATCCTCTTTGGTAATTAATATTAGACAATTTTTACAATTTTAGTATCCCAGAAATAATTGTATAAGGCAAGTTGTGTGCAAAGCCCATTATGGCTCATTGAGTTTCAACAAAATCACACAAACAAGTGAGAAGCTTCCACAGAGAAAGAGATCTGGGCACAATGTGGATCTTTGCCGTGAAAACATACGGAAGCCTGCAAAAAAGAAATGTGTACATTGAGCGTTTAAAAATATTGTCCTTCAGTTGTGTGTTTCTGAGTAACACTAACATGCCGGTATGTGCAGGCATGCTAAATGTTTGTTGGCTCAGTGATGTCATCGCAATCGCAATTGCAGCTGCACGGTCATGTCGGCCAGGATAACAGGCTCCCGGGGTCTTTGGTTTTCATGCGCAGGGCCACCAGGCCTGAGGCCTTGTATTCAGACTCTGGTCCGGGCTCAAAGGAATGAGCCCCTAGGCTTCCTGGGAAGCCATGGAGTGAGTATATCCCGTTAATACTAGGATGGTGGGTTGGGTGATGATGATGATGATGATGATGATGGCCTGCAGATGCAGACATACCCATAAGCCCGGGTAGGTTGCCATGAGGATGGGGATAAGGGGTCATGCAGGATGATGCCATGTTTTCGGTGCCCAGAACACAACCACTGGCCGCTCCGCCTACACCACCCGTTCCCGCACTGCTTGGCCATAGGGTATTTTGCATCTATGTGGACATGAAATAGAAAAACACAAAAAAGACATTAGCGAATTATTCTAATATGTCTCAGAATTAATGAATATTGTCTGAAAAATAATATAACAAATAAAAACGCATAAATAAAAAAGTATTCAAGAAGTTTACGATATCATTTTGAAAAGAAAAAAAAAGTCAAAAGTTTGCAGGTTCAGGCCCTCAAGCTGTTGTTGCGTAAATGAACTTAAAAAAAAGTGTATTAGTTGAAAACGGAGTTGTACATTTTTAGGTAATGCAAATAGTTAATAATAGGAACAGTGTGGTTTTACGTCTTTATTTGTTATTATTTATTTATACCTCCCGCTTCTTTTGTAAATAGTTTCTGTGTTGAAACGTGACTAATGTCATATGTGAATTGTATCCCTTTGCAACAACAACAAAAAAAAAAATCAGTAAATTTGTGTAAATTTCCTCTAAAACTAAATTCAATCAGTGTTTTTAACAACAAATATAATTTGTTACAATGTTCAGTCACTATATCCCCAGCCAAACCAAAGCAACTCCCCAGTGTGTTGAAATACTTGCAGGCTCTGTGTGTCTTCTGTGTTTGTGTACTTGCGCGTGTGTGTACCTGGTATGTGTCGGAGCGAGGGAGAAGGGAGATATCATATGTAGCAGCAAAATGGTTTCGCACCTCTTGCATCTTTCCATAGCGCTCTCTCTTTCTCCATTTGGCCCGTCTGTTTTGGAACCACACCTGGGTAAAGAACACATTTAGCTGAAGTTTTACTCTGAAGTATAGCCCCAGTCTGAATTAAACACCTCTGTCTCATTGTATCAATTCATTTTCAACAGACTAACCAGATATATTAATCAATTACACTACAGTTGAAAAGGTTACTTTGAAGAAATTAATACTTTTTTCAGCAAGGCTACATTAATCAAAACTGACAGTAAAGTCCTATTTCAAATAAATCTTATAAAACTCTCTTTTAATCAAAGAACCCTCACTAATAAGACGAACAACTGTTTTCAATGTTGCTAATAACACTGTAAAAAATATATTTTCAAGATTTGTTATCACAACATATTTTCTTTTGTCAAATCAACTTAAATAATTTATTTAGTTGAGATAACTTATTATTTTGAGTTTCTGATGATTAAATTAATCTCCTTCATTGTATTAACTCACTTTTTCCAGTTCAATCAACTTTTAAGACAACCAGGTTACTTACTTTTTTAATTAAACCAACAATATTTTTTACAGTGAAATGTTTCAATATTGGCATTTTAGAATGATTTCTGAAGGATCATGTGACACTGAAGACTGAAAATTCACCTTTGACATCACACGAATAAGTTTAAAATATTGATTGTTGTTTTAAAGTTTAAGACTATTTCAAAACTTGAATGTATTTTTGATGAACTAAATGCAGCCTTGGTGAGCATAAAACATTTAAAAATGTCAGCCCCTAAATGTTTGAATGACAGATAGTGTATCATGTTTTAATATTACCAGTTTTATTTAATCTTGCATTCCTCTTACATGCATAAAACAGCCTGTCCCAGGAGGTGGAGTCAAACACACCTGCACTCTGGCCTCTGTGAGCTCCGTTCTCAGTGCCAGCTGTTCCCTAGCATACACATCTGGGTAATGCGTCTTCTGAAAAACCTTCTCCAGCTCCTCCAGTTGAAAGGTGCTGAAAGTCGTCCGGTTTCGCCGCTTCTTGTTCTTGCCTGAAAGGTCGATGGAGTCAGCTATGGAGTCTCCAGTCAGTTCGTGGGACGGCTCTTTCAGTTTTCCACAGCACTCTGAATTTAGTGCGGGATAGCCAAGGGGCTTGGGTAGGGTCTTCTCTCCTGCTGGGTTACAAACAGGCAAGTTTTACCACTAAATGCAGATCAGTGACCATTTAGTCGCTAACAAAAATATGTAAATACTGTGCAGGCTAATTAAACATCAGTATCCGAGTAAGTACAGTGCTTTTTTTTATCTCCTCAACTGCTGTTGATGGCTATTTATTTTAAATTGTTATGTATAGCCTGACTATTTTCTCATGTGATATATAGCTAGCTGTCTGGCATGGCTAAGCAACCTCAGACCAACCAAAAAAAGCATGTCAAATATGTGAGTTTTAATTAAATGGCAAACTATTTTACATTTTTTATATTTTCCCTAAATATAACTTTAGCTAAAAACACATTGATATGTGACATATTAATAGCAATCACTGTATATGATACTGTTAACTGTTGTACATCAACAGTGCTGTGTTATATACTTCCTGACGGGATTGAAATAATGGTGTGCAACCGGCACATAAAATCAAAAATGTCTCTGCTTTTTATAATAAATAGTAGACGATTTAACCAACCTCGTAAAGACCAAAATGTTCTCCTTCAATTATTCTGTCTGTTTTTGAGTATTCCACCAATTTTAAAAGGGATAATAAAACACACTGTCAGTTGAGCTTACTGTTTTGATTATCTTGAAACTTGAGATTGAATGGCTTGAGTTTAGAGTGAACGTTGCGATTTTTGCAAGCTCAGATGCTTGATACAATAAAATACAATAAAAAAGCATGTCATTACAAAATCCACATTTATGATGCGACATATAAAAAGGTTGTATAAGTCCAAATTTTATAGACAGCAACAACAACAAAAAAAGATCCGTTAAAATCACTGTAATAATAAACATCATTCAAACAGGACGTGTTTGCTTTTCTCTAGAGAATATAAAGGATGGGAAGTGCTGTTTTAAAAGGAATAAACCATAGAGCTTTATAGCGTAAGAATGACATTGGTTATTATTGGTCTGGAACTCGCAGGCTCCTCATTGTATTGTGACCCTTTTTCAACAAAGCATTTAATATTGTTTGATAATAATGCTGTTCGGTTTCCTCACAAGAACTACTCCATCTGAATTATATATCTAGATATTCAAAACATCTGACCTTGGGTCATAAAATATCCTCAGGCAGTTTGCTTTACAGCTCAATGTGTTTCTTTGCGCAGTGATTAAGTAGCAGACATGAATTATGGTTCTTCATAATTTAATTTTAACCAAAACAGAGGAAGTCATTTACGAGAGCTAAAAGAGTGCATTGTATGTGATCTCTTAAAATAGTTAAGGAACTAAAAATTGCTAAACTCTGTTTTAAGAATAGACCTGCCCACTGTAAAAAAAATATTGTTGGTTTAACTTAAAAAATTAAGTAACCTGGTTGCCTTAAAATTTTAATTTTAATCATTGAGTTAATATAATGAAGGAGATTGATTTAATCATCAGAAACTCAAAATATTATGCTATCTGAACCACATTATTTATTTAAGTTGATTAGACAAAAGAAAACATGTTGTGATTGCAAATCATGAACATATTTTTACAGTGGGTTCTTTAATTTATTTAAAAGTTTATCCATTTTCATTCATATTTGTGATAAATATATGTAAATAGGCATGTAGATAATAAAGTAAGTGCAATGATGCATAAATCATAAAAGTTCATAAACATTCATATTTGAAACAGCCCTGGATTGTGTTCTGTTCCTACTGTAAGCCAAAAGACAGTTTTTGAAATGTTGTATTGACCTCTCATTATAACAGTGTTCAGAACTAGTTCCTTCTGACCAATCAAATCCAAGCTATATTTGTTTGACACACCCCCAATAAGGTATAAAATTCCCAATTAAAAGGATAAAGATAGCCTGCTGAACAAATCTCGTGATCATAAAACAAAATAAGTTATTTCAGAAATGAAAGCTTGCTTGTTGACATATGGAAAACGGTATCAACAATATCGTTTGTAAATTAAATGAATTTAGAATCCTCAAGCATCTTAGTTCCTGTTATTCCAAGGGAAATCAATGTTCGTCTAAGTGACAATAAGGTATTTAAAAGCAGGCAAGCTGCGCTGACAAATCCAGTTTTAAATGCTGTAATCTGAATTGTTTCTGAGCATTAGGCCTTGCATCGCAATATTTTAGGCCTGCTATAATTGGGACTTGTGGTTGAAATAAATCGTTCCGGTAAGTGGAGAAAACGTTAAATCGCTTCAAGGGTTATATTCAAACCTGTTAAAATAACCATCAATAATCTAGAACTTTACACATGCTTTCTTTTTTATCATAATATGTAAAAGTCTGAGGACGAAACGCGCCATGAATATTGGCCTGTACAGGCCTGAACTTAATCTAAAATAGCCTACATAATACAACTTGAAGAAATCATGTAGCTGTTCATAAAATAAAAAATAAATAAAAATCTTAATTAGGGTCAATCATTTTTTTCCCTACAAAATAATAAAATATCAATTAGGAAATACTAGGTAAATTATCTCTACAATCTAAAAAAGGTACCTCAATTTAACAAGTGCAGAATAGCCTAAAAAATAATAAGAATAATTATAATAAATAACTAATTATTTTGTAGTTGTTGTAGTTATTAAAATATCAACGAATACACTGACCGGAAGATCCAAACATCAACTTTTTTAATTTCTCAAAAAAAAAAAAAAAAAAAAAAAAAAAAAACGTAAAACCCCCACACGGCCAAATGGGTTTTTAATGCTTGTTTGTTGAACATAAAGTTTTGAAGAAACTTTATTTTTATAAGTGTATTGTCTTATGCTTGTTTTTAAGATGCTTTTCCTAATAGCCTTATTAATGTTACGTATTTACTTTTTCGTTATTGAGATCTGTATAGCCTATTTTTATTAGTAATGTTCGATTATTATAAGTCTATATTTAGAACTAGCAAATTTCCTAAATAAATAAATAATAATAACTACATTAGTTATGAAATTTGGCCTACCATTTCAAAAATGCTGCTTAAGTTTCCAGATCGAACGAAATAGGCTCACTGATTGACCGAAAAGACTAAATGAAAACTTAAACTGAAAATGAAATCATAATTAAAAAATCCAATGCCATAAACTTTTGTTATGGGTCAGTTAAAAAAACAATAATGGTTTGTCACATATTCTACATAACATGGTCTTATTGGTTGTTTTGAGATGGGGCCTTTCAGGAGTTTTTGAAAAGATTTTTTTTAAACTTTTGAGAATTATTATTACTATTATAGCGTGTGGTATATTACAAACTTCCAAAACGACTGTCACTTACCTTCGGAATTCGTCTCATAAAATGACGAGTTCTTCTCGGTGATCGAAGGTTTTTGGTCCTGATTCATATTCTCCAAAAACTTGGTACGCTTTCCAGGCGATGCGCGAGGAGTTGTGCTGACGCCGTGCGTAAAGTTCGCGGAGCCGCCGTCTGCGTAGCGTCCCATAAAAAACTCATGTCGATGCGCTAGAGGAAGATGAGGAGACTTTTGAAGGTCGTCACACTGAAAGAAAGAGACGGAATTATGCTCCAAACCGGGTGAATTCTCCGGCGTGATCCTGTTTGGAGGCGAGGAGAAAGACAAACAACTCTCAGTCTCCATCACCTTGTCCCGAGCACGAGAGCGCAAATAGTGGACTAGGATACTATTAACAGGGGACACGTTAGTGTATAAGCGAGCGAGTAGGGGATTTTTTTCCACCCCTTCATTTCAAGTGGGTGGGATTTAGAGGATCAGAAACAAAGACCCGTGAATAGGGAGTGAGAGAGCAGAGAGTGGGACAGACAGCGATCTGATTCAATACCCCCAGAAATCAATCACGTGCAGCTCCTGTCAATTAACCATTTACCTACAAAACATTTCCTGTTATAAAACAAAATTGTTATCAGAGATGGGAAAATGTAACTATTGTGACTATAACTTTAAATCACCTAAATTAATCCAGATTCGATGAGTTTGGGTCCAACATTTTACGCGTGACGCCGCGGTCACTGCTCAACCAGGCAGGGATGAACACAACAGGTGAACGCACACTGGCTATAAAAAATATGTATGGCATCTACATAAAGGATAGAAATGAATGTATTTTGCATTTACGGATACAAATCTGTTATTTTGACGTTATGTTTTAGTATAAACTATGGACAAAATAGGCCTATGATTCATAAATTAGGCCTATAGTCTACGTTGAAGAAGCATCGTGTTTTTTTGGGGGGGGACATGGACAAGGTAAGGATTTACAGAATGAAACAACCTTGTGAAACAATCAGGGCAAGTAAATTAGTAGACTGATTGAATTAGTAGACTGATTGAAATTTTATGTATAGGCTAGAATTTCAGACAGTGGAAAAAAATATTTTGGCAACGTTTTATATCCCAAAATCAGTGAAACATTTCAAAGGCCTTAGTTTAAATGAAAACAGGAAATGTATTTAGGCTATAGAAAACAGCGAGATGCTGATGCCGCCAGATAAAACAATTCATAAACTAACAAGATGATATAAGCATCACTACTAGGTAATAAAAAAAAATAATTTAAAGGAGACTCCAGTTGCATCTTTAATAAACATTACAGAAAATGTTCAATCTCTGATATAAAATTCATCAATGTGATCAAAATACTAGTTAGGCCTACTTATTTCCACTTCTCTTCTGCGATCATCGCAAAAGCATAGAACTTTAACTTTACTACTATAGGCATAAGCAACCACTTTCAAATCAATATCTATTAGGAGAATGCCACTTATAGTTCTTGCTTGAGGTAAAGGGCTGTAGGTTATTAAAATAAAAGTCTGCTGCATCCATTATTTTCTGCTCGATCTGTGGTTCTTAAAAGTCCAACTTCTCCAGCCCAGCAGAAAAGTTAGTGTTTTAATGTTAATTTTGTCCTTTGTTTCAAGTAAGTTTAAACTCAAAAGCTCGAGGAATAACACTGCAAACTATCCACCAAATGAATCCAAACTAATAATAATAATAATAAAAATTCCCTCACCTCAGTTTGGACATCCAGAGATTGAAGAAATTGAAAACTGTTGATATTGACGTGGCAGCTCGAATCTCTGCAATAGATCTCTAAACATAGAGCACTTAAAGGGCTTGTGCTGCTTTCCAGGATGTCTAACCGTTTTTTTTTTTTTTTTTTTTGGGTTATCAAAGCCGCATGGAGCCAACCTGACGGACAAGTGTGTAAACATCAAGTCCATTTGCTTCGGTCAGCCCACATAAGAACCGTTTCATTCGACGATGAATTCACCAAGCTAACAGACTTTGGGAATAGGCTACGGAAGAGATCATATCCACTGACAAGTTGTTTTGTTGCACTGCTAGTCTTTTGAAAATGTTAATGAAATGTTGATCAACTTGTCTGACACTGCACTCCTTTTCAAAGCTATACACCTTAATTTTATACATAATTGTTTCTATTGTTATTTTGTTGCATATAACCTTCTCTTATATAAATATAGGCCCGAAATATATCACTTGAAAGGTTATGCGGTTTAGTACAAGGACATGTGCTAATTTGTTACGGGCAGAGAGAGGATAAATATATTTGTTACAAATAAGGAGAACGAAGGAAAAATGCATTTGAGGGAAGCCTTGAGCAAACAGCCCACATTTAGCCGTGCACAGACTAGAAAAAGATTAAAAAGAGAGAGTAAAAACGCCGTCTTTCATTATAGTGATCCTAAAAGGCATCAGGAGCCCCGTTAATTACCGAGCAGAAGTTAATCAAAAGGACATGACCGACCTGGCGCTCGTGGTTGCAGGGGTATGTTTGTAACCCAATTAATGAAAAACATGACTCAGATTATGTTGTGGGAGCTCTGGAAATGTCGAAAACTGGAGAGACCCTCTGAGAATGACCATCACATCCTGTCTATGAAATGATACAGCCATACACTTCGAACAGACCATTGGAGGGACAGAGAGAGATCATGCATTCCAAAACTCATGCTTGTAATTATTTAAAAATAAAATATAGCCTACATAATGGGGAGTCTGGGGCAGGAGACAACAAGAGCTACATCATGGTGTGGAGTCGAAATTTTTGTTTGTTAGTTTTAAACAGTTAAAATATTTTTTTAATTACAATTACTCTTCAGATAATTCCAATAGCGTCATTTTTATAAAATGGGTAAACAACAAGTGAACACAAAATGCGTACTGGCATAAATTCAGTGAGGCACATACACACAAAAAATCATAAATGTCTGGTTCGTGTCACATTTTTATAAATTATGTAATATAATTTAAACGGTGTGACAATATACCCCCACGATTGTGGCATGCTGTCAAAAAAGGTCAGCTTTTGTTCATTTAACTGTAGGCCTATATTTTTTTTTTTCCATGGGCAATGATAGTGCCTAGATCTGTTTAAAGCCTGGACTTAGATTGTTCCTATATAGAAGAATTGTGTCTTTCAAAAATAAACTTAGTCTAAGAAATATTCACTGAAGTAAAAAAGTGTGACAACTAGCCCCAATCTCCACTTTATTATGTCTTTGTTAATGTGAATACTGTACTGTGTATGCAGTGCACCCTGAACACTTCTCTTGTGTGTGATCCAGTAGCCTCAGCCAAGTTTTGTGATTCTGGCACAGGGTTAAATGGCTACAAAGAACATTTCATTCTAGCCGGAGGTGATGGTGTGTTCTTGAAATATATATATAAAATCCCAGTCGAGTAAATGTACTCCAGAAGACCCGTTTGGAGAACATATCAACTCTGAGTTGGCTGGATGGCCTCAGGAACCTGTGCTCTTAACTTGGTGTTGACAGAATTGGCGTGTGCACAACCACAGCCATATCATTTGCATCTGCAGAAAAGCAGACTAACAGCTGATGCTCTCCTCTACTTCAATAGTTTGCTGATATTATTCAAACCACAACCCTCCCAAATTTTCGATCAAACATCAGCGGCCATTTTAGAGCTCAGATAAATGTGTTCAGACATGAAATTCTTGCATACGAGTCTCCCCCTGAACTGAATATGACTTATGTGTCAAAAAGCAAAGAGAAGAACACTATTCCATTCTAAAAGTTTTCCAAGAAAAAAATTAACAGCATCAGTCCTTCATTAAAAGACCCTGATAACCTAAACCTGGAAACACCTATCTCTGGCCATGCTGTAAATCTCCAGCAGCTCTTTGGATTTCTGGTAAGTCATCAAACGGCTGACCCTCGCTCCTCCGCTTGCTGTGGCTTTGTGGCCACTCTTGTTTCCTGAACCTGGGGCAGCTGAACCTGTCCCTGGCATGACCCCACACAGGAAATCAGTCCAGTCTGTGGCCCACGCTCTCTCTTTCCCCCTTTCTCCCTCTCTCTTTTTCATCCAGTTCAGAGCATAGAGTTGGATGTGACCCGTCTGAGACCTTCAATTAACACAATGCTGGACCTACGGTAGTTTTTTTAAAACTGTTATGAGAAAGAATCCAAATAACAGGTTTTCAGTGTTGCTGCACTCCATGAACAATACGCCATTGTAAATGATGGATAGATGCATAGATGGATAGACATTAGGTGCAATCTGCAGTTTGAAGGGAGAGATTTGTATTTCAACATACCGTACAGCATTAGTTTTGTTTTAACAGGGAAACCTCTGTGCTGTTAACAATCTTATTCACACACTCTGATCATGTGGATGGTCTTTATCATTTCAGCAGCCTACAGGTTTGTGCTGGAATATGTGGAGGGGAAGGGGCAGTAATTCAATTATGTGCCCTGCATGTAGAGAGATGATCCCATATAAAGAGGATGGATTTTCCTCTGAGGACTCTTTCACTCTCTTCCATTCCCTCTGTCCAGCAGTTTGATGGCCAGCTGAAGCCGAAGCTCTGATTGACAGCTGCCGACCCCCAGGTCATAACACATGACAGAGGGAGTCTGGGAAGCGGGAGTTTGTTTCAGAAAAGCACTCAAGAAGGGCTAGTCTGTATGTGTGTGCATGCAGGGGATATTGGGTAAGAACAGACTGACTGTCCGCTCAACAACCCCATATTTCACTGCTTCAGAGTACTGAGAGATGCCTAACAGAGGTGATGTGAATGCAATGATGTTCAAATTCAAATTTGAACATTTATTCTAAAAATGTTGTTTTTCCCTCAGGGGTGTCTTCTGAATTTCCTCAGAGAGCCATGCTATTGTTGGAATACATGCATGTCAGGGTTGTGCATAATTTAAAACTGAAGAATTGACTCCTGTTCAAATTCTTGGAAGCCATGCTCCACAAGAAGTTGAACTGGAATTTGATTTGGGATAAAAGGTGAAGTTACTGAACAGCAAAATCATTGAAATTCAGAAAAATTAAGTGTTCTTCCAAAAATCTATAAATTGCATTTTAAATATCTGTCTATATAATTTTGAAATGCAGCTCAGCATTCTGTTTGCAAACTCAAACTGGAATTTTAAAAGCATTCTCAATTTATTTCTGAATGGTGCACATCTCATTTCTATCAGTCCCCCCCCCCAAAAAAGTAACTATCGCATGTACAGCATAAAAGTTGAGCTCACTTAGCAGGTCTGAAAGCTCATCATGCTCTTATCATTCTTGTATGTAAAGCTGAGCGACTCTAATCTAAAGATCCTCGTTTTCTTATTCTATGACTGCAGGAATCCGTAAACAGGCTCCTCGTCTGGGTAACCATCTGGGTATCAGTTGACCTGGCTGCTGTGGA